ATAACCTGTGTGCAGATCACAGATTCCATAATATCTCAGAAAAACACATTTGTGACTAAAAAGACTGCAGTGGCGGCACATTTATACTACTAATTGTACCTGAAAAAAGCATTTTCTGGTGGGATAACTGTGATTATGCAGATCCATGCAAAGACCACTTTTGTATTTTCAGGACAAAGAGGGGCCTGTCTTGCTCATAAACCTAGAATAGCTGAACTAATACTATAGCCTCGACTTGAAGACTTCCTCTGGTGGGCTGTCCTATACCAACAGGCTAGGAGAGTTTAACTTTTTTAGTCTTGAACAGAAAAGTCTATGAGGGGACCTGATACAAGTCAACCCATTGGACTAAGTCTGAAACAATTAAACACAAACCAGAGAACACATGGAACCTATGCTGAAGTGTATTTAAAATACTTTTACATTTAAAAGATTGTGGGAGTATGGCATAAGCTCCCCAGCCCTGTTTATGAAGCTGAAATCCTAGATTCTTTCAAGAAACTGCAAGATGAGATCTTCTGATCAGTAAGCTACTAACTACCGCTCAGACTAGACAGGCCGAAAAGCCTCCTCTCATTTGTAACTCTTCTTATGTTCTCTTCTCCCTTGGCAGAGCACAACAAGTGAACCGTAGCAATTCGATACGTTTTCTTTCATGGAGATGAAAATACTGATAGAGCAAAGCGTTGTTCATCAGCACTCCCCAATCTCAATTTGCTTCAGTCAAACACATGGCTCATGGCTTTGCCTGCACAGGGCACTTCTGTATATCCTGGGTGCTGTTAATTAGTCTTGGCTGGAATATTGATTTTCTGAGGTACATCTTTGAGCTAGAACTCAATCTTAAATTAGCACACGACTACTAATTTTATTTTGCTTGATCTTGTTTGCATTATTTGCCTTCAGTTCTAAGTTGACTTTTACAAATATTTTCTGCTAATGGTGTAAAGATTTAGAATCTTTTTTTATTTGGAATATTCTGCATTCTCACACTGGAATAGAGCCATAGTTTCCCTTTGGCTGTGAATTAGTAGTGGAAAAAAAAGTCTTTCTGGCTCCTTGTGATTCACCTTTTTGAAGAGAAATGTTGTGGTTAAACTGATATTCTGTTGTCCAGTGAATGACAGTGAGCTATGTTTAAAAAAAACATATTGCAGAAATTGCAGAATCAATAGGAAAACAAAAATGAGCGCCACAGGGAAGTTTCTGAAAGTGGTGAATATTCAAGCAGTGAAAACTCAGATTGGGGTATTATAAATGGAGGAGATCACTGTTCTTTCTGTTTTAGTGCCTAAATGAATTAGGAGGAACAATGTAGAAGTTGCAAAGGTTAGGTTTTATGAGACTGCAACCATCTGGTAGATGGTATTTATTGATAGCAGTAGAGTATTATGTGTGAGTAGAAAAACTACAAATATCAAATAAAAATCTGGGAGCAATAAAAGATTTAAAATAATGTAAGGATCTTGTATATAGTTAAAACTAGAAAGTGGAAGTGAATAAATATTACTAAGACCACTTTACAAAAAACATATTGCAGCTCTGGAATCAGTTCAGAGAAGAACAACAGGGTACTTCATGGGCAGGAAGGACTCTACAGGCTGTCCAACTCTAACAGGCTAAACAAACTACATATTTTCAAACTTGACTAGAAAAGTTTATATGGTAACCTGGCTCAAGTATTCAAAGTCCTCTTTTTTCTCTGGTGGGTTGTCCTATACTGACAAACTAAGGCAGTTCATCTTTTTTAGTCTTGAACAGGCTATGAGGGGATCTCAAACAAATGCATTAACACTGACTAAGCTGACACAGCAGATTTCTTTAGGATTCAGCGGTGACACACAGGGATGTGTGAAACCAAGAACTGTAGGCACTGTCAGAGCCTGAAACAAGCTCCACAAAGAGGAGACCATCAATTGTCCAAGGAGTCAATCAGGTACAAGTAAGTAAATAAACTAGATGGGTCTTCCCTTCTTTGAAACTTTCATATATTCTGAAGCACACCTTGAAGTGAGAAATAGGGGCCTATAGAAATCATTGTCTTTGCATTTTGTTGACACAAGACAAAGCTATTTGATGGAGTAGCAGCTATTGGCTTGTCCCTGAAAATGCAAACAGCAGTAGAGCTTGATTAAAGTCTGGAAAGCAAATTGAAGATATGTTAAACTGTTTGTCTTATTAAATGATTTGCTTTCTTTTCAAACAGTATTACATGGACTGTGTTCTGTGGCTCTTTCAAGAACAGGTTTTATTTTTCCTTCAGAGTGGGATGGGTGAGGGGTGGGGGTTGTGTGGAGTGGGGGAAATGTTATTTTCTTGTTGTATTTTGTTTGGTAAAAAAAACAAGAAAATAACAAAAGGTTTTCTCAGACAAAATTGAGAGTGGGTGTGAATTTTAATGTTCCATTTCATTCCATTATTTTCATCAGAGAGTCTCATTATTTCAGGCCCTTGTCTAAATATGTAATTGTGCTGGAAATGCAAGGAATTATTGATGTTTGTTACATCAAAAACTATAATCAGTTATGCATTACGCTGGTCTGTGCTGTCTGGTAACAGTATTTTATAGATGTCTTTACTGATTGAGCATTTAGAAATCAAACTACCGTGAACAGATGACCTCTAAGTTGTGAACTCAAGGACAATAAGCTTGTTATGCTGCTGGTGGAGGAACACAGAGAAAAGCTTAACTTCATTGGTAACAAAGAAATTAATTTATGACAAATGATCTTTTTGGGCTGTTGCAGGGAAATGTTAACTCTTTATTGAGAAAGGCCCAATGGTGAAAATCTGAACCTACAGTAAGTCTGTTAGTAAACAGAAGAAACTTTGCTTGATTTCAAGCCCAATCAGCTCTGGAAATGTTTAGCCAATTCTGCACTACTGCATGGGGCTCCCATATTACAGTTGGCTAAGGGCTTAGCCTAAGTCCAAACCAGACATTTTATTGTAGATTACAGAGCCTGTCCTGTGTTCAAGCACAGGATCTTGACAGTCATACCAATTAGGATCCCAGCAGTGAAAATTAGAAGCTGAGGCACTGCTTTGCATATTGTCCATCTCATCATCTGTAATCATGAGAAGCAATTTCTGCTGGGCAGGTACAGGGATGATGCTTGGTCTGACCAAAATGCCCTTTTAAGCTATTGGAGGAAATATTTAACATTGACAAAACCAGAAAACAATTTGATATAACAATAAAGGACCTGTTGCCAGGAACCCCAAAGCAGTTATTCTAACCTTTCAAAGTGCTGATTCCAATTTTAAACACTCAATTCCAACTCATACTTTTCTTGTTTCACCATAAAATCCCAGAAACTGAAAGTTTTCACCCCCAACATAGCAGAATATATCACAAAGGGTACCCAACTTGGCAGAAGTACTTTTCATTACTGTCAGCAATACATAATGTATGTAAACCCAAGAAGAGTGATCCCATTGGAATAATGATGCAGGAGAAAAAATTAATGAATATTAAAAACAAAGGTGAGGTGAAAGGGAACTTTAATGTAGCAGAGCTATGCATAGCAAGATGAAATATCCCAATAGCTGAGAAATCTTTCAAGACAATTTTTCCCTGCTGTCTTTGCATCTTAAAGTCCTGGTGTGCTGGATAAGTAAGACCAGTTATGAACAGGACTTGGAGACAGCATACTTGAGAAACGATAGCTTGTCATTTGATGTGGGGTCCGCTTCCTTAAGATGAAGAATGCCAAACCAAAGCCGCTGTAATGTCATGGGAGACACTGAACAGAAGAGGTGCTACCTTTATTTTATAAGACCACCAAATTCCAGCCCAGTCTAAAAAAAGGTACTGAAGTTTGTCTCACTAAAATCTGGGTGAAACATTTGATGGTGAAAAGAGTAGCTTCAACAGATCTCTCTTGTTTTGGTCTCCTGCTTCTCAGCCAGCAGGCAAGAACTAGATTCATACCTCCCATGCCATCGAGTATACCCAGCATTCAAAAAAGAGTCCAACAAGCTTTCGGGGATCCACGTGCTATGTAGGGAATATGAAGGTCATGTATTCTGAAACCAAGCGTGCAATTTAAAATATATTTTTATTTGAAGAACAGTAGCAATTGGGATGCCAACTCTTAAAAAAAAAACATTTATTACACATTTGGTGAAGTGCTTAGAACACCTAAAATAAATACAAAATAACAATCCTGAATCAGAACATTATTATTAGTGTGAATTGATGCCGCAATTCAGCTGCTTTGATTCATACCTCATCAGTCTCCACAACAATCGCTGTCCGGTTCGATGAAGATTTTCTCAGCACTGTTGTCGTTGTCCTAGAACCAGATGAGCCAGGAGGAAGAAGACATTTGTGCCAGCAAGTTCCAAGTCCAGTCAGAGCCTTTTATATTAGCAGGTTTACCAGAAAAGGTAAGGCAACGAAGAACGTGTCCTACTATGTGAAATCACGGGTTGATTGAATACTTGGACGACGTAATAAATTAAGACTCTTAAAATTAACCGTTTCCTCTCGAAACTGAATAATTTACATACTAACCTTCTCCCGGTTAATTTTATAGTTTAAGAAAATCCACTTTAATAAGCCATGAGTAAATACTGGACTCAATAAATGTATAATAGGCGGACTGTCAAACTCGCCATGTCCAGGTTGCAATTATCTCTCAAGTCTGCACATGCGGTATCTGTAGACCCCTACAATTCACAGCACCAAGTTATCACGAGCAATTCTAGAATATTCTTTAAACACCGGCTGTGCAGTGGATAAAAATTCACCTGCAAATGCAATAACAATAAGGTAAAATAATTGCCGTCGAATCGTTTTCTCTATGATAGCACGTTTATGGGCGCTATCCTGTCAAAGTTTTTTTTTCTCACTTTGTCCCCCCAGTTCCTCACCACTTTAATTCCTTTCACAGTTGAAATAATAAATATTCATGATTTGTGTTGCAGATTTCTTTCCCAGCTGATAGGGTGACGTATGCGTGTATGTGTGTGAGAGTTTTGGTTGCGGCGGGGGAGTGAGGTAGCGAGACTTGCTATTTGAATTCACTACTGCGATGCTTCGGAGAATGGGCATCCCTTCTGAAGGAGCGGATCGAAATAAATACTGTAAATAAACCGGACAGCTCAAATGTAAAGAAATAGGCGAAAGGGAGCGAATCTTGCGTTGCATCATTATCTTCGCATTCGTTTCCTGCAAAAAGACATGACGGGAGTGTAATTTAAATGAATGGATTCAAATTAGGTTTATATTTATACGTATATTTTTGTATTATCATTTTGCATGTGTTTATTTTTAGGGAAGCGGCTTCAAACGCACCACAACCAAATATTTTTAAGGTAACGCGAAATTAAGGAAGAGCTGCTGGTCTGGGGAACCTTATGGATTAGAAGCCTCAAACGTTAATTGAAGCAACCTTCTCAGAGCGCCTTCCTTTCCCTTGACAGCTGCGAAAGCAAAGGAGAGCTGCTCTCGCCAGCGACAGGCCGAGCACCAGGAGCGAGTCATCCTCTATTCGGCCACATCGATGTGCCGCCGAGTCAGAGGGGCACAGATCGGCTCTGAGTGAAGCGGTCGCCCCGGGGTGTACTTGTCTGGGGGGGAGGGGGCGACACATTTGAAAGGTGGGGTGACAGAAAACCAAACTCTTGCTATAAAGAAAGAGAAACAAGGAAGCAAGCGGAATTTAAAGCCTCCAAAAAGACAGGAAGCACGTATCCAGGTAAGCGCTTTCACAAACGCACAGTATGGCAGGATTTACTAGTATCGCTGTCCGTTAGCTAGTATTGGACTGCACTGTAGGCGCAGGTGGCAGTAGTTCCTGAACCCGGCTACAGACGTTACAGTGTGAGGCGAAGCTCCTTCATAGGTTTTTGGCAGTTTGCGGGGAGATGGGTTGGGGGGCTGAATAAGTGAGCTGGATTTTTGTTTTAGGACGCCGGCATGTGGTTGGGTCTCCTATTTCAAACATTTGTATTTCTTCTCCTTGGACTCTTGGGACTTCATAATTCCTAACCTGCAATATTATCATGAGCATCATTAAAATGCTTACTGCAGCGTTAGAATAAAAATAAGGTCGGGTGCTTTAAACTTGAACGTGTCTCGTTTACACATACATGTTTATCGCCCCAGACTTGAAATGTTATAGCAGCTTCATAAACGACTTTAGACAGGAGTGAAATACACCGAACTAAAATTACATTGAATGGAGTAAAAATCTAATTCTTAGTGCGCTCTATATCTGTAAGCAACATTATCAGCAAACGATTCTTCTTGCGTGTGTGTGGGGTTTCTGTGAAACGTGCCGGCGAGGAGGCGATTACATGGAAAGGTGTAACGGGAGGGCTCGTAAAGGTTCTGTTGTGAAGGGGCATTCCCCCATTTAAGTGTTCTGTGAATTAATTATTCATCTTTTCAGTACACGCAATGTGCATTTATTTAGACTTTCCTCTCGTTATATCCTCACGTTGTGGAATCCGGTGATCTCTTTCCATTAAAAAAAATAATGGGTTACATAATGCGTGTTATTGTGCTACATAGAAATCGGGTACTTTAATCTGATCACTGGAAACCTCAAAGGATTAATGACGATTCATACTAAATGGTTGTGCCAAAACAGATGATCAAAACATGGAATGGGGGTCTGAAGTCCAATGCCACACAGTTGAATCGCGTTGTAGTAAAAAAATGCTTATTTATGTCGATTTCGAAAAGCTTATTATGCTTATTTATTATGCTTATTAAGCTTAAATGCTTATTTATGTCGATTTTGATTTGCAAAGATGCGATCAAATAATGTCGTCCCATTTTCCCAATAGTTGGTCGTGCAATAGCTGGGTCTGACAAATATAACAGAGAAAGGCTTGTTTTAATATTTGCATGAAAAGGAGGAAAAAAACCTGCTGGTTTGCTGAAGGGTTTCCCCTTCCAGTGAAGTATCCAATTCAGCGAGGTCTAGCAGTGAGAGAGTAGGTAGGAGTAAGCAAACTGGGGTGCATCATGATTAATTTAGAGCAGCTGTCGTGCTCTGTCTACATGTGCTGAGGTCTTGTTTATTAGGGATTCAAATATAGCCACTGCTCAGCAAGTCTCTTTCCAAAATAGGGAAAGAGAAATGTCGCTCATGTTGGTTTCTAGCTCCGCCGACACTCGTCATCTCTGGTGATTCGACATATCGTTTATATGGTGTGGTGGAACTGGGTCCGTAATAAGTCTATCGTTAATTACTAATAAAACCTTAATGTTTTAGTGGGGAGGTCATTTTCCCACTACATTTGTCACGTCAGTTTCGCCTTTTTTATTGTTAGAATATACTATATATAACGCACACGCAGCGTCCCAGATACATCAGCTTTACTGATTACAAACGTAAGATTGAACCAAAAAACTGTTCCCCAACGTCTCTCCCCGATCAGTCAGATGATACAGAGGTGTGGGAGATGACAGAGCTAATAGCTATGTGCTCTCAGCCGCGGTGCGTAATGTAACTACACGGCGCTGGGTTAATTTAATCATTCCTTGAACACTCAGTATCTTATCTGACTGTGGCTGATATTATTTGGTTAATTAATTCCTTTCTGCTGCAAATAATTTGTCGAAAGTTAAGCAAGTAATGTTAAGCCAAAAATCCGAGTGAAGTTATGTGAGAAATTACTAACACTTGCTGTTCGCGATATTGAACTGGTTTTCATGGTCACTCTGAACGCTGTCAGTCAATAGTACGTTAGGAAAGTACTATTCAAGCTTTGCTTTCTTTTGATTGTTGTTTGAGTGTATTTGCCTTGGTGGACGTGTAGAGGGAACATCCGGGCTTATAATGGGTGCACTTTGAGATCGGGAATGTCTTTCTCAGTTGCCCTGTGTAACTTGGCTTTAGTATATTCGTGAATAGTAATACATAGGTGCATCTAAAATATATTTTTGAGTCTGTGTGACTTTTTATGTTATCCATATCTTTATATTTGCCGTTGTATTCTGTTAATTCTGTGCATGGTGAGTGAAGCGCAGAGATGATGTTCAGTTTATGTGTTTGTTTATTTCAGGTTGAAGGCATCTTGGGATTCTTGTCCTTTCTGAAAAGCATCCAGTAGTTTATTGGGCCAGGTGGTCATACAGTATAACAGATGTGTGAAGTTAAACAATTATTAATTATTAAGCATTTCACTTTTCTGCTTTACTAGTGCAGCTCGGAGAAGCATGGACCCAACAGCAGTGTAATGAGTCTTCTCAATATATTTCCCTGTGTATGAACACTAGATCTTAGTTAGAGGCACTTGTGACAGGCCTCATCGAGCATAATGAACCCATTCCAGTGATGTCGCTCGGTGCTCTGTCAGTGGCAAGGTGGTCTGGCAGAGTGAGTTAGTCACTTGTTCTGTGCATCTTGAGCGCCAGTCTAGTGCCTGAGATGGTGGCTTTAGGAAAGGTCTGACTGCACATGGCTTGAAGGCTGGTGCAGAGCCTTTGCACAGCATAGGGTTCTCTCTACACAAAATGTGTTTTGACAGGAGTTTATCCTCTCAAGCGTGAGAATTTCATGCAAACTGTATAGACTTAGGTGGGGGATTGCTAAATGAAATACAGGAAACTGCGTTAACCTTGCAGAGTTTTAAATGCTTTTTGCACTTGTGATGGGTCTCATGTCTCTGGGATACATACCAATTGAGACAGCTCAAGAGTCTCTCTCGCTTCCTGGTGGACAGATTGATATGTCACCCTTCTAACCCCTTCATAATTCTTCAGGTTCATGTAAACATTTTCCCTCACTTATGTACCTGGTAAGACTTGGAGTCTGTAAATAATGTTTAAAAACTCCTGTTGCCTTGTGGGTAATGAATCTATGACTAGCATGTGACCCACTTTAAGATAAAATAGCAATAGTGTCAAGATTTAATTTATATTGTAACGCATATGGCCGACAGGCACTGTGTAAGAGCCGGTTTACCAGAGCGGTGACGTTGCTGCCCTTCCCTGTAATAGCAGGACTACAGCCCCTGGGCTGTAGAGAGATCTCTACCTGGGTAGTCCTGGGTTCGAGCCCCCGACGGTGCAGGGCCGACCTGAACCCCGTTGCATTACAATATTTTATGATGGAGCAAAAAGGAAGCCAGCTGTGGATCACAAAATTACAGGCTGAATGTCCTTTTAAAGCTAGAGATAATATATTTTTTGAAACACCTGCATTATTGATTGTTTGAGGTTTGTGTTTCACTCATGCCTGTAGAAATGCAGGTTAAGCAATGTTTATATACAGTAGCAGTTTCTAGGTCCAAAAAACAGCAAATGAACAAATCATTTCTAGACATTTTGACAAATGAAAGCCTGAAAGACCTGCTCCAGGAGTAATGCTGATTATCTCAGGTTTGAATCCAGAGTGTGTCACATGACAACTGTCACTAAGATCTCCTAAAGAAGTACTGACAGACTGCAGACTGACAATGTTCTCCCTACTGTGGCCCAGTGTCCACTGACAATGTTTCTCACTATCCCTGGGGTGTCCAGTTCTGTTCCTGGAGTGCATGTGTATCTGCAGGTCTTTATTCTTACCCAACTCTTAATTAGCCAAACCATTTGGTTACTGATGTGGCTGGACCAATTTTAGAGCTTCTTCCAGCTCTTCAGGTACTGCTACTTTAAAGGGACATTGAAGCTTTGTAGGACCAGGATTAGACATTCTTACACTACTGAGTTTCTAGCCCAATTATTAAATAACAAATTATGGTTATAGTAACAGAGTATGTAATATGGTATGGTATCCTTCTTATATGTTCTTTGATACCTTGTCTTCTGATAAGAGCTCTCTATTCATCATATGTACTACTGTAAAAGAGCAGATTAGTATCATCCTGTACTTTTTAATGGACATTTTAGCAGTAACAAGAAGTGTTTTCTACACAGTTCTGTTGCCTTTCAAATTTATCCTCACCATGTGCTATTTTATTAACCTGTGTTTTTTGGCCTTTGAATATCAGAAATTAATGTGAAATTAATGTGTGGCCCAATAAGTTTTTTACTACTGTACTTTTTGGAAATAACTACTTTAATAATGCATAGCCCTGGAAAAGAGACATTTTCACAGGCATAATTCAAGGATAGTTGAAAAAGGAAGCTAGGCACACAAATAAGTTCCCTGGAGTATTAGCTGCTGCATTTAGGAAAATAGGACATGCTCTCTTTGGCAGGCCTTTTGGAGGCAAGGGAAGATAAAAGGTGGATTGAGTTGAGTCCATCCCTGACCATACCTTTTCATTTCTCTATGTGTGGTGCAAAAATAAAGAACTGAAGAATGTGTACTGTACTTATCCTTGGCTCAAACCTGGTATAGGAAAATGTAAAATGATGGTTTCCTAAAAAACAGAAATGAAAATGTGGTGTGTGGTCACAGTTAAGCAATTTATACTCAGACCACAGCTTAACTTCCTACTAAATTTAGAGGGCATCTTTAAAAACCATGTGAAAGTACAGGTAAAACTGAGAACTGGAAGCACTTCTTTACACAAAGGGATGTGGGAGTTTGAAAGAACCTTGTCAGCCAAGTTGCCAAAGCCAATATCCTGTTTTCTTTCAAGAAACATCCAGATAAGATATTGTACTAATACCACTTAGTTTTTAACTCATAAATGGGCTGAATGGCATTTTCTCATTTGTAACTGTTCTTATGTATTGCGTTTTTGCTGTGTTTGCTATTTGATCTCCAAATGCTTTGGTTACGCTTCTTTCAAA